CATTTGAATTTGGAATTTATTAAACTATTTAGAAAATAAATTCAAAATCTAGAGTAAATTACAAATGTTTTCGAATTCTGATAATATCCTTTTGTTAAATTTGAGATTTTATAATAATTATTTTAAGATTTATTGAAAATATTTTAGTAATTATTTCTAAAAATTTATGAGTTTATTAATTTTAATTGATCTTCATGGCAAATTTAATGGTAAGAATCAGCTTTGACCATAATAATTTGAAAATTTATAGCTAAATTTATATTTTTCTAAATACTGAAATTTAAAATCGTCATTCTGGAATTATGAAAGTTATTAAGGAGCATTAATCGTTATTTCATTTTTTATGATTTAGACTTTATTGGACAACAATTTTACTGTAGTTATTCTACATTTTAGTAGTATTAACTTATAATACCATGGACCATAAAATGAATTATCAAAAATTCATAATTAATTTAATGAATATTCCAACCTTCTATATATTTAAATAAATTTTTATAGCAATCTCATTCCTTATATATTTTATGCACCTTTTATTGAATACCGTATTGAATATATAAGAATATGAGCTCAGGAGCAGATGATCTAAACAAAAATAAATACAGTATGCATACTCCTTTGATGTCCATTTGAATTTTTCTATTTAAAATTACTATATTATTTTTGTGTTATTATTAAAATGTTTATACGGATTAATAAAATTTTACTTTGATCGCATCTCATTCTTTATTCAAAATTGCATCCTTTCATATAATAATTTAGAATTTCCAAAATATTATACAATATAAATCATTAATACTGATTAGTTGTCAATATAATATATACATGTATTGAAAAAGGACATGTGCAAAAATTTAATATTCATAAAATATTAACAATAAAAAAAATCAGTAATTGCAAATAAAAATTTTATTTTTTTCATTTTCATTTAATCATAGTGATGAATAGCCCATTGAATTTATAAAAACCCTTTCTGTTTTTCTTGTTTTCTTTTAAAAAAAAAATTTCTAATCCTCGAATGAATCATCAAAATATGAATATTAACAATGTTGAATGCTCAAAAGGACATTTTTATCCTTTTTCAAAATTTTACTATACTTTTATTTGGCAAATACAATTATTGCAATTATTTATCCAAAAAAAAAAAAAAAAAAAACCAAGCATAAATGGAGACGCAAAAGGATTAATTAGAATTGAAATTTTTCTGTTTCCATGATTTTCAATTGTATATATATGGAATAAATTGCATATAAAATTGCATGATTCACGCCGAACAAAATAAATAAATGTAAATCAATCATTATTTGTACAGGAACCCAAAATCCTTTTCTATAATTGTAAATTTTCTGAATAAATATTATATTCATCTCTTCTATAATATTTTCATTAATAAATAATATAACAATAATAAAATATTGTCCTTAAGCTTAAATTTTTATATTTCAAGTATAGGCATATGACATTGTGTACTATTGCAGATGCAATTTTCAATAATTTTCAATTCCTAAAGAATCCCAAATTCATAAATATGCAATATGAAATCACAATCAATTTTAATGTACACACAAAATAATTTAATGAAATTATACATGAAGAGAATACAAAAAAAAAACCACCTATGAAACCACTTAAAAATGGTTTATGAATGGTGGTATGGTGCACTTTTTTTTCAACAAAAAAAAAAAAAAAAAAAAAAAAAACACCACATGCCAAACTAACAAAAATTATTAATTTTCTTTTTTGATGTTCTTTAATTCTTGTCATCAAAATTTTTTGTTTTTTTTTTTTTTGTAGATCCTTGTCAATCCTTTTCAATGTTTATTCATATGAATCTATTCTTTGATAATATTATACTTATATAATGTATAGTTGGTAAAGAATTAGAAACGGCGGCATTTTTATAGAATTTTTTCTCCCACATTTTTGTACAATTTTATTGTTTCAAATTACAACGTAACTCTTGTTATTCATCCAATTTTGTGTTTATATTTTATTTTTTTTTGATACAATAAGGATATTATAGGTAATATTGTGTATTATATGTGAAAATCCTTTGCATCACTAACTTTAAATAATAATTTTTGTTTGTGTTTTTTTTTTTTTTTTTTGGCTTATGATAGATGCACATTTTCTGTTTTATTTTGTAACCAATCCTTTTTCATTATTATTTTCTTATTGTATATATAAAGAATCCTGTAACATTTTATAATGTAGAAGGGATCACTTCTATTAAATCATCAAACATCTGCAGGCATATATTTTTCTACATTATAATATTTTGAAGTACGTCTAAAATTTAGATCTTCCTTTTATGTATTTTGCTTCTTTTTTTATTTTGTTTCTGGGGTTTTTTTTGGAGAGATTGATTGAAATGAAAGAATTTGTGATGCCTCAAATGGATAATGCATATAATATAGTTAGTTATAATATTATTATTTTTGTATACTCATATATGTACAATTATTGTTGATCCTTTGAAATATTTAACATTATTATGAAATTTAAGAACTTATATATTATAGATATTGTTATATTGAATATCTTATATTGCATATTATGAGACGCATATATAGCTTAATAAATCAATTTTGTTTTTGTTAAGATTATATGGGTACGTTCGGAATAAGAAGTTGATTTAAAAGACATAATGTCAATGACATAACAGTAGTTAAAATTATTGAAGCGAATTATAAAATCTTTGATGAATTCTTCCTTTAATCCAAAAATTATTATTATGGGATATTTAATTGGGATATATACATAGTTATTAATATTATACGTAATCATTCTATTATATTAGAACGTATATGTAATGTTTATGGAAGAAAGGATTAAAATTAAGATAGTAAATATTATTGTTTCATATTATATAATTTTTATATATGATTCTTTTCTAATAATAACATTGTGGGGGAAAATATTTTATTTTGAATTGAATAATTGTTCGAATATTTAAGCTTTTATATATAATAAATTTGAGAATTTTTTCGAACTGTGCACATATAGAAGAAACAGTTCAACAAAAACACATTCAAGAATTAATTTGAGATTAAGAAATAATTTTTATAATCCTGATAATTCTTATAAATTGCCATAGCCCCCGAAAATATCTTCAGCGCTCCGACCGCCTTCTCTCCGATTCCTTTCTTAATTCCCAACGAATTGTATGTGATCCGATACCACAGAAGGGCTCCAGCCTTAGGAGAGTTTTTTTAGCCGTCCTCTTCGCTAGCGCATCTGCTTACAGTGGTAAGTCTAAACACAGAAAATCGAGCTTTTTCGAATTATGAATTTTATATTTTATTTCTATAGTCTAGGCTCTATTCCAGCTTCGTATTTCAGAAATAATTTTAAAATACAAAATAAAAAAAAAATTGCTTGATATGTTTAGAGTCGTGGTTTCTGCGATTTCTGGATCTTGATTACGAGTTAAACATATGCACATATAGATATATTATGAATTAATATTGTGAAATGGAAAATATTTTTATGATTAAATTTTTTGTATGTCAAAATCAAATTTTTAAAACTGGAATTTCCCATGTTACTTGAATTTCCTTTCCTTATTAAACCATAAATTTAATTTTTTATTCTATTTTTCTTTTCTTTTTTTTTCAAAATTCACATTTTATAATTTTGTTCGTTCGTTCATTAATCATTCATTAAAACGGAAGGTCATTTAAGGGTCAGCAGGCTCATTGACCAGTTCTTTTATTTTGTAGAAAAGAAGTTTAGTTCACACAATACGAGAAAAAATTTTACTCTTAAGAGAAAGAAAGGGTTATAAAAGAGAAAGACAAAAAAAAAATTGAGAATTGAAATTAAAAATCATAAGAACCAAAAAAAAAAAAAAAAAACACTAAAACAGAGTTTACAAAAGGATATAAAGGATATCCTTAAAAATATTTTCTATGCACTCTTAAAATTCTTGATTTTTTACTTTTCATATACAAATTTATAAAAGAAAATTTTAAAGCGAACGTAACGGTTGATTTTGTGCAATTTTTCTATTGTAGACATGCGTATAGAACCATATAGTTTCTGTTATTTACATGGATCTTTTGTCTTTCGAGTATATTCGGTTATTGACAAGTTTGTGTACGAATATAATTGGCAGGGTATAATAAAATTGTATGCAACATTGTAATGCTACTTTGCAACAATTTCGATGAGAGGTGTGTGTGAAAGCGTGTCATAACGTAATAGATGTATAAAATGGGGTATATTTCAGTTCAGTATGGAGTTCTGGACTATCAATGGTGGCCTTATTCCTTATTCAAGAGACAACTTCGAAACATTATTATAATCAGAACAAGTAAGAAAGTTAATTTAGAGCTGGAACATAATATAAATATAGGAAATTATATTCAACTATTTAGATTACAAGTTTGTTTGTATATACACTATTTTCGAGGAATAACAAAGTTCCTGTAGTGTACTTGACCAACTACAAATTTCTTTGTTTTTATTAAGAATTTTTGTTTCTTTTGGTATGGCGTTTAATAAAATTGGATATGAGTGAATCTTATGTTTCATTCTGGTTATTTTATTATTTAAGACAAAATGTTGTATAAGATTTGAAGTTTATATAATAAATTCATTGGAGGGCTTCCGTAGAACTTACAAATACGATAAAATCCAGTTTTTTTATTACAAATTTTAAAGGAAAAAAAATTATTTTATTAAATAATCGGCGTGAAGTGGAAATATCGAGTGGTCGGCTTACGTAATTGAAATGCAGGAACAAATATTATTAGAGAGTACATTAAAGTTAACAAGATTTCTAGCTATACATTCTATGATTTGTAAAGTAGTTTCACGCTGGGATTATCCTTAAATATTTTTGATTACTTGTAATCCAAAATTAATTGGAAATTTTAATCTTATATTGAATTTATATTTGAACGTGAATGATAAATATAAAATCTGACAAAAATTATATTATGTAAAACTATACAGTTATATTTTGTATAATTTTTTTTTTATAATAATTTAATTACCTGTACTAGAAGTACAATAGCTTCTATGATATGGTGTTGTATGGATTGGTGCTCCACTTAATAAATTATGTAAAAGTGGCCGATGTTGGGCGGCATTCTGTTGAGTATGTTGATTTCCACTAGCATGTTGTAATTGTTGTTGTTGCTGTTGTTGCTGCTGTTGTTGTTGATGTCCAATATTTGTTGTATGTTGTGGTGATTGAGCTGATAAATTCACCGATATATGTTCTGATTTAATATTAAGTGCAGCAGCTTGTACAGCAGCTGATGCTATCGCTGATAATGATGATTGATGCTGCTGTTGTTGCTGTTGATGTTGTTGTAAATGATGTTGTGGTGGCGGTGGACTTGGAGATTGTTTTATTAATGGAATTTCTGTGTCTACTATAATAATAATAATTTGCAAAAAAAAAGACAGAGAAGAAATAAAATAAATTAATAATTTATACAAGCAAATATTAATAAATCAAATTTAAATATTAAAAATTAAAAATTTTTGGTAAGAAAATTAAATTTTAAAGTTCATAGCGTGTTGAAATAAAAATTTTTATTATTTAATATTTTAATAAAAATGTCTAGCCAGATCGATCGCTTTAAAAAATTTTGTTGTTAAATATTGTAAGTGTATACCCTAACAGGTCAAGGATTTGTATTTTCGATAAATTGTATTAAGTTCAAATAACGGCTCATGCGTTTTGAGGAAAAGAATCTTTTTAACAAGTAGATGAACTTTTCCAAAATGATCAAAATGCTATTTAATAAAGAATAATTTTCTTTATTTACTGTTTTTTTAATTGAAATTGAAATGAAATGCAGATAAGAGCAATTGAAATTATATTGCTGAATATCTTAAATTACCGTTAATTAAACCTTTCAGTATTATACAATTCAGCATTTACATTTACTACTGTAAGCTGAATTTGCATAAATAACGTGTAACTGTAATTTTAAATTTATAGACTCAAAGCTATTGTGGCGTTGAACAATTCAGCAATTACTACAGATAAGCTGAATTTACATAAATAACGTGCGGCTGTGATTTTCAATTCATAGAATCGTAATTTTTGTGGCGTTGTACAATTCAGTAAAAATACACGTTATCACTACATTTTTTAAAATTCTTTTTTTTTGCATTGCATATATTGTTCACATACATTTTATACCGATATTTATAACCAGTAGCCCCAATGTTAGATATAATGGTGTGTACAGCATTCTCGTATCAAGGCTAAATAATGCAGTTTATCATTTTATATTTAAACAAATTGTATGCAAATATTTTATAAAAAAAAAAAAATCAAATCAATTTATAAAAGTGCCTGTAATAAATATAATTTTTTTCACCTAATTCCCACACAAAATTTATAATTATGTGTGTATGTACGGAAACTGTAATATTTCTAAGATTTCTTAATTTATAATTGCCGATTACAATACATAAACCTATATAAGAATATGCAAGAAGGTATATGCTATTTTTTTATTAAACATTAGTATTTAAAATATAAACAGAAACCCATTCATAAATATTGTATATTTAATAATTAAATATTAAATTTTTTATGCTTATTAGTTTTAAGTCTTAGCCTTTTCTTTTTTTTTTGGTTTTCATTATTACCATTATTATTATTAAAGCGACACGCTTTGATTTCCTGACATATGTGTAATTTTTTCTTATAAAATATTGAAAAAAAAATGAATTTTTATAGCAACTGAACATATAAATTGCTATTATGGGCACAGCTACCTACATTTCTATATTTATGTGTACATATGCAAGTATGTTGGAAAAAAAACAAAAGTTAAGTGGCAGACAAAGTAATAAAAATAATAAAAAAAATCAGTAATAAATAAAATGATAATAATAGCTAAATCGAAAATTATTAAATGCTCATTTATATGTAATGCAGCGTTAAGTCTATATAACAGTTTTAATACTATATAATACATACTAGTTATTATTCATGTATACACAAACTTACGAACATTAAATATAGATATACATGAATATATGAAACGTGAAAACAACTGAATAAGAAAAAAATACAAAAAAAAAAAAATTTAACAATTTTTGTAAGTAGGTTAAGTTTGCCGGAATTTTATTTCCGCTGTTACGTCACTATAGATTATTGGGTATAATAAAAGAAAATGAAGAAAACAAAAAAAAAACCCGAAAAAAGCAAAACACATGGAATTATAAATGAAAATTAATTAACTTTAAACGCTTCTGACACAAAGCTAAAATATTTAATTTTTAGATTTTTTATACACGGCTGAGTTTGTTCTTTGATGTTGTTCAAACGAATCAGCGTTTGTAATATCAACTTTTTATAATTATATGATTTGATTTAGTAATAGAATAATCCGTGTATGGCGCTGATATTTAAAAACTTTGAAAATTATACAACAATAGTTTGTTGTGTTCTGTTGTAACATGTGTCCTACAAGTAATGGAAAATAAATTAACTCTACTCCTTAAAATTTACAATAATAACTTGCTTTGGGGTCCTGTAGATAGATTGTAAATTGCTGAATAGAGATATGGGGTAAGGAATTCCTCCGATCCGATCAACACAGCCAACTATGGGTTATTGCGGGCCTCCCATATCCTACTTAAACTATTCCAGTTCCAAGTGAATAACATAAGATATCGCTTAGGGAGCTGGACCTGAGTTCTCCAACACTGAGAAAGCCTCGACCAAATCATCTGCACTTCTTGACAGCCTGAGCATGAAAAAATCAGTAATACCACGAATCCGATTTCGGCCAATCACAAGCAGCGCTGAGTAGAGCTTTGTTCAGCAAAATGGAAGGAACCGTTTCGCGTGATGACATTCCTCAGTAGCCTCTCAGCGATTCGCATATAATTTGATTGATGGTTTCCTAACATTTCAGAAAAATCGAATTACGTCTAATACTCACATTTTATCCTATGAATAGCAGGTATCAAAATTATGTTGCATTTATTGTAATTTAATATTTCTTTTTTATTATAATGGTTACAACGTCTACCACTATTTTATATATTCGCTATGTATATTGTAATTACTGCTATATGTACATATGTATATATGCATTTATTATGACGAATGGTATTTGTATATATGAAAATGATATTTTGGAGCATTTTGAAAAGTTGAAGGTTACAAAATTTTTGATTTTTTTTATATATATATATATATTTAATAAATAGAAGCGGATTCGATTATAATTATAAGTTTTATTAAATTATTAGAAGTAGTTATTGGATTTTTAACCTTTTTTTTATATTTCCGTTAACAGTTTTTATTTTATTTTACCCAAAATAGCTTAGTTTACATGTACGCAACACAAACATATGCACAAAAGTGACTATACGTAGAGTTGCTAATAGTAATTGTTGGTATTTTTTTTATTATTGGGTTTTTTGGCTGTTTAAATCTCACCAAAAAATCAAATCAAAAGGTGGGTGTTTGTTTGTTTTAAAATGAAAATTGAAAAACAAAAGTAAAGCAAAAAAAATTTGATTAAATTCATAAATTGTTTTTGTTATTGTTAATGAAATTAGGAAAATTTTTGTGTTGAATATTTTTTTTGTTTTTCAAATTTACTTGATATTGGTCTATATTATCGCCTAGATTTTGAGGGCCGAAAAATTAATTTACTGAAAAATTTTTATTTAATTTTTATTGTATATACGAAAAAAATTGTGAGATTTCTAACGTGATTTATTTTTATATTGTTACATTAATAATATGGGACAAAAGACGTGCTTTTAATTTCATAATTTCCGATTTAATTGATTAAAAAAAAAACCTACACAATATGCAATCCTATATGCATATTTATTTATAAATGACCATGTATTTTTAAAAGATATCCGGAATTTTAAATGAATTATGAAAAAAATATTTAAAATATTCGATTAAGAGGAATATTGAATAACTTCATTTGTAATAAATGAGTATTCTTCGGGCGCACTACGAACGTAACGAATGTCAAGGTTAGGGATTTCAGTCCGTTTTTGAGGAGCTCGGGCTAGTTCGAATTACCGGCGGAAAAGGAGAAATTCTGCGGTATCACAACCGGCTGTGTACCGTTCGGGACACCGCAATAATCTAACTTAACCTATAATATATCAATTTTATTAAAACTAATTTTGAACGTTCTCAACAACAAGAGCCATTTAAATTAATATTTATTAATATTCCAGTGAAAAATAATCAATTTAATTTGATAACACAACAATTACATGCATGTAGTTCCAGTATAAAAATAATTACTAAAATAAGAATAATTAATGTTAATTATTCAAGAAAATCTTAGTTAATTAAAAAAAAAAAATTTAGAAAATTTAAGAGAATTGATTTTCCTATAATTTAAACTTCACACCCTAATTGTTTTATAATACCGAATGCATATAATATAAGCATTTATAATTTCAAATAATAAAATAAATATGTAAATAATTCTACTATCCTAATTAAAAATATTTTATACGAGTATCATTATATTTTTTGTGTTCTTGTATACTTTTTGAAATATTTATTTAAATCCAGCTAATCCTTGCCAATCCTTGATTTAATCTACAAAATTATTTTATAAAATTATAACATATTAAATGCAATCTAAAATTTTAAAAACAAAAATATTTTGCTGTGCCATTTCCGGTGACAGTGTCATTATAATGTATTTTTTTTTTTTCATAATACTTACAAACATTTAATCTCATGAAAATGGTGTTATTGTGAATTTGAATTGAGAATTTTAGAATAAATTGATATGACTTTTTTGTTACTTTTTTACGGACTGCACTATTCTGTATTAAATAAGGGAGGTATTATGTATGCTACAAATTTTATAAGTCGGCTTTCTAAAAGAATGTTGAGAAAATCCAACACATATATTATTTGAGAGAAGTTTGTGTTGAGCATAGCTCATTACCTGACATTCAACTGAATTAATTTTCATGAACATTTATGTCTGAGTTTATTGAATTCATTCAAATTTAAGACCAATGATAATAACAGAATTTTTTTTAAATTTCAGATATATTATAATAGTTGAGGTTTCTCGGAGAAATTACAGTCTAAATACTGGATATTTATCGTAATGTATAAATTTTACCTTCTTTGAACCGTACCTTAGTAATTTTGAAATACTTCTCTTAAAATTTCATGTTTTGAAGAAATTAAGGCTTTGAATTGGAATATTTCTATATGAGCCAATTTAACAACTTTTACATGATTCTGTAACTAATGATTTACATGATTAATAGATTTGATTGGATTTTTTTAATAATATTCTTAAGGGGGCGGATTGTAAATTAATTTTAGGAAATTTGAAAACAAACAATCAAGTTTATTGGAATTCGTAAGGTGCTTACGAATATACCTACATAAAAT